AGAAAAAATCTAATGGATTCAGGTCTGGCGATCAAGCGGGCCACGTGATTGGCCCGTATCGTCCAATCCATCGGCAAGGATAAGTTTCGTCTAAATGAGCTCTTACTTCACGCCCGTAGTGAACAGGGCACCCGTCATTTTGCAGCCATAGTCTTCGCCGCAGGTTTAAGGGTACATCTTCCAAAAGAGTTGGAAGCCCGCCGTTCTTGAAGGAACTCTAAATAACTGTGAGAGTAGAGCGTTGGCGGCAGTTCCACAGGTCCCAATATCTGACAATTAAAAATACCGCACCATAAATTTATTTTGTACCGGTACTGCGAACGATCTTCTCTCATTTCGTGAGGATTGTCTATCTGCCAACTGTGAAGGTTATGTAAATTAAAATAACCATCACGTTTGCATGATGATTCATCGCTCCAAATTATTTTATTAAACAAGTTGGGGTCTGATTCATGCATTTGCAACATTTCACTGTAAAATCTAACCCTCGATAGGTAATCTCTCTCTTGTAGAGCCTGAACGCGTTGAATGTGGTAGGGATGGTATTTTAAAGCTTTGTGAACTGTAGTTGTTGGTATTCCAGTCTGTCTTTCCATCATTCTCCCTGAAGTCGATGGACCTAGTTCCACTTCCTCTAACGCAACTTTAACATCTACCGTTGCAGGACGTCCTGTCTCGCCGCCACGCCTTCCAGGTATGCGACCTTAAAAAAGTTAAAAATTATAGTTAAAAGAAGAATGGCTTCAAACAAGAAAGGTGTAAAAATTACTTACCTTCAGAAATTTCTCTATGGGTGCGGGCGAATGCTTCTCGACCCGGATGCTCACGATTGGGGTATCGTTCTGCATAGATTCTTTGAGCAGCTCTGGCATTACAGCAAGCTTCACCGTAAATTAGGTGAATATCCGCATATTCATGCGACGTATACTGCGTGTTCTCTGTCATAGTATTAATAACACAATGTTCGAAGGGTCCAATTTCACAAAATCCACTTTCACTAATTCCGGTAAGTAACATAAAATAATGTTAGAAGCAAGTAATTATGTACCTATTGAGCATGTCATTTGACGGTAACAAGAGCAAATTCAATTTAAATATATTAAATACATTCTAGCGTGTCTCAGTCCTTTACCCACAAAAGCGGTTATAACTTTTTTTTCTATTCAAAACAGTAAGTGTGGCACCTTTCTGAAATCTTTATTAAATGAGCAATTTTTATGTAATGTAAAGTTATAGCTCAGTACATTGTTTTTTCACCCGAGATAGTCAAAGTTGGGGAAGAAAATATCAAAAAGTTAAAAATCCAGAAATAGTCCTAATTTTATGATGGTTCCTTAATATATTTTAACTACATTGCATTTGAGTATGGAGAGGCAACTATCTGGAAGTATTTTACATAAAAAATTTACTAAGTATTGCCCGGTTTGTAGTTGCAGTTAAAGAAAACACATGAAAAGGCACGATTTTTTTTAAATTCGAAAAAATGTTAATATTTCAAAAACGGTGACACTTTTACCTGAAAATTTTTTGTTTATCAGGGTTTTATTTTTTCGAAAAGAGTTGCCACCTTTTAAATAATTAAAATCAAGTTATTTACTAATCAACGCCCTCAGATCCGCACCGTCCGTTTGATTTTCAAAAGTGAGGTACCAAATTAAAGGACTTAGGGTGTGGATGTTCAAAAAGGTTTTGCTTTTTCGAAAAAAGTTGCCACCTGTTAAGAAATTAAGTTCAAAGTAATACGCGAAGGCATTTTTTGTACAGCCTAAAACATCTTCACGGTTCGCTCGAGTTTCAAAATTGGGGTGTAAAATAAAAGCGCTTGGCCTGTAGATGTGCAATAAGGTTTTAGTTTTTCGGAAAGAGTTGCCACCTGTTAAGAAATTCAGTTCAAAATAATACGCGATGGCATTTTTTGTTCCGCATAAAAGATCTGGACCGTTCGTTCGATTTTCAAAAGTGAGGTGCCAAATCAAAGGGCTCTCGCTGTAGGTGTGCAATAAGGTTTAACTTTTTCGAAAAGAGTTGCCACCTTTTAAAAAATTAAGTTCAAATTATTTCAACATGGGCATAAATGAAAATAGTTTTGAAAATGTTTGTTTTTTAACTTAACTTTAAGAGGGTTGTCACCTGTTAAAAAAATCAAATTCAGTTTGAATTAGGGGAATTAGGTAATAGAAATATGTATTTGTGCCAGACGGTAAAGGTTAAGTATGTAGTAGTTTGTAAACATTTTGAAGAGGGTTGCTACCTGTTTGAAAAGTATAATTTATAGAAGTATTAAAATATGGACGTCAAGCGAATGATCTTAAGAGATCTTTAGTTTGAACGTTTAGAATATTTTTAAAGTGTTTTAAGAGGGCTGCCACCTGTTTAAAAATTAAATTCAAATTATTTAAATAGTTAAACCAATATTTACCATCTGGGTACCAATCGCAGTAGTTTTGAAAATACTTTATTTCTGAACTGCGTGTAGGAGGGTTGCCACCTGTTTAAAAATTAAATTCAAATTATTTAAATAGTTAAACCAATATTTACCATCTGGGTACCAATCGCAGTAGTTTTGAAAATACTTTATTTCTGAACTGCGTGTAGGAGGGTTGCCACCTGTTTAAAAATTAAATTCAAATTATTTAAATAGTTAAACCAATATTTACCATCTGGGTACCAATCGCAGTAGTTTTGAAAATACTTTATTTCTGAACTGCGTGTAGGAGGGTTGCCACCTGTTTAAACAATCAAATTCAATTTGAATTAAGGCAATGGGGTAATTAAAATAGGTATTTATGTCTATAATCTATATATATAATACGCGAAAGCATTTTTTGTGCAGCATAAAAGATCTGCACCGTTAGCTCGATTTTCAAAAATGGGGTGCCAAATTAAAGCGCTTGGCTAGGAGTGCAAACTGGTTTTATTTTTTTGAAAGGAGTTGTCACCTGTTAAATAATTAAACTCAAGTAATTTACTAATCAATGCCCTCAGATCCGCACCGTACGTTCGATTTTCAAAAGTGAGGTACCAAATTAAAGGGTTTAGGGTGTGGATGTTCAAGAAGGTTTTACTGTTTCGAAAAAAGTTGCCACCTGTTAAGAAATTAAGCTCAAATTAATTAAAAAGTTAAATCAATTATTAAATATGGGTGTCAATCAAAATGGTTTTGAAAAGGCTTTGGTAAGTAAATAAGGTATCGCTATATGGGTGTCATACAAAAGAGGTTTAAGAAGGTAGTAGTTTGGAAATATTTTGAATAGGTTTGCTACCTATTTGAGAAGTCTAATTGAACTATTTTATACCCAAGTTATATGAAATATTAACGATGGATGTCAAATGTAAGAGCTTCAAGAAACACAATTTAGAACATTTTTGATGTGCTTGAGGGTTGCCCAGCTTAAAAGGCTAAACTAAAATTATTTAATAAATTAAATGAATTACTAAGCGATGGTAATCAACGGAAATGGGTTTAAAATCCTTTATTTAAGAACTATGTTTAGGATGGTTTCCTCGTGTTTAAAAAATGAATTTCCACTTAATTCATCAGATACTTGAAATATTTATAACAATGTCAGACGAAAAATATTTAAGGAAATTTTAGTACGAAAATAATTTTTAAGAGGGTTGCCGCCTGTTTTAAAAGTAGTATTTTGTTTAATTATTCATAAGTTACATGAAATTTTAAAATATGGTTATGAAAAGAACGAGTGTTAAGAAATCTTTAAATAGAACACTTGTTTTTTTTATAAATGTCTAGCTCATTATACAAGTTAACAAGGGGGCCAACCTACTTACTAATGTGAATGTGCTGACGCCGCACTGCCAAACACGCGCATAGCCAGTGCAGGTAATTGACCTGCAACGTAAGCGATACCAATTGGTTTTATGCAACCAAAATGCAAATCGTGGGAAGCGCAGCGTCAGCAACTAATCAATTAATTCGGGCCGTTTAGATACTTAGCGATAGCTTTAAGTAATATTTTGTATTCATTATTATTTGGAGAGCCGAATGGTAAATATACACTTGTACTGCTAATCTTGCTTTTCATTTCTATCCTTAGGGAAACCTGGGGCCGCGGGGCGGCCCCCAACTTTAATTTTTTCGAGCACGCATCCGCGTGTTCGTTAAGTGGCGCCCGAGCAGGGACCCACTGAAATGTGGGTCCTTGTGAGGAGCCTGCTTAACCGTGGGACTCCTTCTGGAAGGATGCCCTTAATTGTGGGAATCCTTTCCGAATGATTGCTGCAGGTGATGGAAAGTGATGTGATAAAGTGGTAGTGGCAAAGTGTTAGTGCAAAAGTGAAATAAAAAATTAAAATTATAACAAAAGGCTTGTACATCCACATAACAAAATATTTCGAAACCGCGGTCCATCAGGACCACCTTCCGGTTTATAATATTAGCTTAGCTCTGCGATCCCCACGGGGCACTCCAGAGTATAAAAGCTCCTCTTCCTAGAAGAGGTCAAACAACTTAAATAATAAAAATAAAGCTGTCAAATAGGCTCATAAGTGCAATAAGTTAATTAATTCAACACTGCTAAGTCCTGTGACCCCGATGAACCTCAGGCTTAGACTATAAATTACTACGTCCTCTCCTGTCAGTCATTGTTGGCTGATACAGGAATAACAATAGTGTAAAATGTCCTGTGACCCCGAAGACCCTCAGGTACATACTTAAATCAAATATTATAACAAAAGAATGAAAGGAAGTGAAATCTTCGACACAT